AGCAACACGAACCCCACAAAAAACGGGGGGGGGGGGTCGCAGGTGTTCCGGAAGGGTAAGCAGATCCTACTCCCCATGTAGCACCCGTCGTGTTGCTCATGTAAGTACAAACCCGGTGATATGTCTAATTCGGTAGGTCACATTCGGGGGAAGAGGGAAGGCTTGTAGTTATGACAATTGGAATATATCCGTCATCATCTGTGAAACAGATATTCCATAACGATCAACCAACTCGTGATGGCGTCCCTAAATTTTACGAAGGGATGATTTCAACTTCACCACTTGGGACTCTTGGTTTAATAGCTTTCTTGTGAGAAGCAATCCTCTATCAAGGAAACACAAGCCCTGTAATATCGTATCAAATGGGAGATATATATATGCAGGCGCTCCTGGAATGTTGCAACATAGAAATGGAAAGTTCACAATTGGGAAGCTGAAATCGTCTCTTTTGTCGTATAGTTTTGTTTTTAATCGACCCTCATTGTCAATTTCTAGATGTCAGTCAAGGTATGAGGCAGACTTAACTGTATCCTTTATCTCAAGTTCGATGGGATAGATGCGTTCAACGTAGTCACCAAATTTTGAATTATTTAGTGAGAGAACATCATCTATATAGCGGAAAGTGAAGTTAAAGGATACTGCTAACTTCTTTTCTTTCTTCATAAGAAGTTCATGTATGAAGTCAGCCTCATATGAATAAAGAAACAAGTCGGCAAGCAAGAAGAGGAGCACAGTTGGTTCCCATGGGAATGCCGATTGTTTAATGAAAAACACGTCCCCTAAACGTAACAAATATGTTGTCAATCAAGAAAGCAAGCATCTTGATAATGTCAGTTTCAGAGAATTTTTTGTTCGAATCAGAGTGATTCATCCCTCCCTAGGGCAAGAAATTTGTATCTACGTAGGCCATTTTTTATGAAACAAAGCATGACCAATTCTTTCAAATTGTCTTTTAGTTTGGAATGGGGAATACTTGTGTAAAGTGTAGAAAAGTCAAATGTTTTAATACTATTGCAAGATGAAATAGTCTTAGATTGTATGTATCTTTGGAATTTTGTAGCATCCACATCTGATTCACGCCACCTCTAGAATAAGTAGTTTCACAATAACTTTGAACCCCGGCTTGCTGATAAAATTGATGTTAATAATGTAGAAAGTGGTTTCAGTAATATAACGTTGTTTGTAAGGAAACTTATGTAGTTAAGTAATCCAATACAGTGAAGGAAGATCCAGTTCTTCATCTTTGGTTGAAATTCCAACAGAACAAAGAACAGATCTATGATTATCCAGGATTTCCTCCTTGGTAAGTGTCGTGGGGGTATATGTTGAGTTTTCAAGTGAATTGTCAATACCTAATTCATTTATCAAACAGTTAATGTAATGTGATTAACACACAAAAACGACGTTGTTTGGGACTTTATCTGTAGAGACAACAACATATTTGTCACTGAGGTAGGGCGGGTGTTTTGCAACATTTGGGTCTTTAAAGATTACTAAAGAGGTGCAATTCGTACCCATAGGAATATTTACAACCTGTCTTTAAGCTGTATTGCCGAAACGTACAAAAATTATTGTCAATTCGAATATTTACAGCTTAAATCATCTCATCAAAGTTCAGTAAGTACAGAAGAATTCTTTAAATGAGTTGCATCAAATCAATTTTTAATCAGACTTTTTTAATCAAATAAGAAGTGTGTTGTTTATTAACATTTTGTGGAAGTGTAGTGTAGAAGTCGAAACGTCATTCCTGTCGACCGATTTAAAAAAACCCATGAAAATTAACGTAATTTATCTGAAGCTTCCATAAAGTTTTTTACACTCAAAAATAATTAAATCTATTATTTGTATATATATGCTTTATTTCATAGGCAAATAACAAATTCTCTTTAGTCATGGAGCTATTGAAAGACACATACCGATTTGCTGAAAAATACTTACAAAAAGCCTAGCTGAAACAACTCCACGCGGTTTTTTGTTTTTGTTTTTGTTTTTATATGTTTTTGTTTTTGTTTTTGTTTTTTTATGTTTTTGTTTTGTAGTTTAGGTAGCCAATACATAGTAAGCACCATCAAATGTTTAGAGGAGGCCTTTCGCTGGGAGGTAGTAATGGCATGATTGTTAACTACTTGACTCTATGCCCTTAAAAATAGTGAAATCACATTTCACCCTTAACTATACTGGAATCACATCCCATCCTTAACCATACTGGAATCACTTGGAAATATATTATGGAAAAATGGACAAAGGAAGGCAACATTATTATGTGTATTGATAAACTATAAGGCACGAGAATAAGCGGTGGGGATGGGGCAATCAAATTGGTGATTACAGAAATATATCAGGAGATTTCGCCTAATCATTTCAGCACACTTATTTTGACAATGGGCATTGAAAGCTTGATATTGAAAAAAAGTAAAATCACAAAAATACTGAACTCCGAGGAAAATTCAATCGGAAAGTTCCTAATCACATGGCAAAATCAAATGACAAAACACATCAAACGAATGGACAACAACTGTCATATTCCTGACTTGGTACAGGCATTTTCAAATGTAGAAAATGGTGGATTGAACCTGGTTTTATAGCGCTAAACCTCTCACTTGTACGACAGTCTCATCAAATGCCGTTATATTTACAACGATGCGTGAACAAAACAGACATAATAAATAGAATAGTCAAAATATAGCAAGAGGTAAAAACACTGTTTTTACCTCTTCCTTAACCTCCAAACACCTGTCCTATGTTCTGTATATTGACCTCAATATTTTTATATTATTTGAGTGGTTTGATTGCTTATCCAAAATCAATTATTTTAAAATCTCACTCTTCTTACAAATGAACACCAGCTTCAACATGCATGCTTACAAATTAGTAAGGGGTAGATTTATTCATAATCTGGATTAATAAGGGAATAATTATATATAAATAAATTGGGGTATAGTGTAAACAGCAACCAAATAACATCACCGAAGTTTCATAAAAAAAATACCTGCAGAGGTCAATTAACTAGTATATGCTGATAAGCCAGTTATTCACTCACTGTATTTTTTTTTTTTTAATTTAACGTAATACTACACACATGTCAAAATGGATCATATACGGGTATAACCATAAGGAGGCGGACAGTGTTAGCTTTCTCATGTTATTACCTCTTGCTTAACCTCCCCTATCTTCAGGTTTAACATAAGGAGGCGGACAGTGTTAGCTTTCTCTTGTTTTTACCTCTTGCTTAACCTCCCCATCTTCAGGTTTAACATAAGGAGGCGGACAGTGTTAGCTTTCTCATATTATTACCTCTTGCTTAACCTCCCCCATCTTCAGGTTTAACATAAGGCGGCGGACAGTGTTCGCTTTCTCATGTTATTACCTCTTGCTTAACCTCCCCCATCTTCAGGTTTAACATAAGAAGGCGGACAGTGTTAGCTTTCTCATGTTATTACCTCTTGCTTAACCTCTCCCATCTTCAGGTTTAACATAAGAAGGCAGACAGTGTTAGGTTTCTCAGGTTTTTACTTCTTGCCTAACCTCTCCGTATTCAGGTTTAACATGAGGAGGCGGACAGTGTTAGCTTTCTCATGTTTTACCTCTTGCTTAACCTCCCCTATCTTCAGGTTTAACATAAGGAGGCGGACAGTGTTAGCTTTCTCATGTTTTTCACCGCTTGCTTAACCTCCTCATCTTCAGGTTAAACATGAGGAGGCGGACAGTGTTAGCTTTCTCATGATTTTACCTCTTGCTTAACCGCCCCCATCTTCAGGTTTAACATAAGGAGGCGGAGAGTGTTAGCTTTCTCATGTTATAACCTCTTGCTTAACCTCCCCAATCTACAGGTTTAACATAAAAAGAAGGACAGTGTTAGCTTTCTCATGTTTTACCTCTTGCATAACCTCCCCGTATTCAGGTTTAACATTATGAGGTGGACAGTGTTAGCTTTCTCATGTTTTTACCTTTTGCTTAACCGCCCCCATCTTCAGGTTTAACATTAGGAGTTAGACAGTGTTAGCTTCCTCGTGTTATTACCTCTTGCTTAACCTCCCCAATCTGCAGGTTTAACGTAAGGAGGCGGACAATGTTAGCTTTCTCATGTTTTTTAACCTCTTGCTTAACCTCCCCGTTTTCAGGTTTAACATTAGGAGGCGGACAGTGTTAGCTTTCTCATGTTTTCCCTGTTGTTTAACCTCCCTCGTCTTCAGGTTTAACGCAAATGGAGTGTGTAAAGTTAGAGTTTTCTCGTCTTTGAACCTCCTTTTTCAATCTCTTCTGTCAACAGGTATAACAATAATGACGGGTGAACAGTGATAGGCTCCAACTCGTTTTTAAACCTCTTATATCTACAGCTATAACAATAATGGCGTGTTGAAAGTGGTAGCTTCCCAACTCATTTTTAACCTCTTCTATCCACAGCTATAATAATAATGGCGGTTGGACATTGATAGCTTCTCAACACGTTTGTCAACCTCTTCTTTCCACAGCTATAACAAAAATGGCGTAATGGACATAGCTTATGATAGATTCTTATTTCCTTTTTTCAACCTTCCCTATCTGCTGGAGTTCTTACTATAATTTTTTATCCCGTCCATTTACTGTTTTCTAATGTTCTTAAACCATTTCTTTCTTTCATCTCAAATTTTCCTTTGATTTCAAACTATACTGCCCACTCCTTTTTAAAAAGCTATATACAATTCATTTGCAAGGGAGGTAAATCAACAATGAATGAAAACAGTCAGGTAGCATTATATAAATTATAAATTTACAGTGATGAAGTAATTAAATTTTAACTGATCACGTAGCCTTGAATGATGATCGTCGAGACACTTTATGTTTGTTTCTGCTTGGAGAGTTAGCAGGATTGTATGGAACATGTGTAATGTGTAATTGTTTTTTTTTATATTTAGAAATGTCTCGTCAGCTACAGGTTAAATGTGTGCATTGTGTTTCGTTAATTTATGCATGCAATGACTTTTACTTACATTTACGTGTATGCACATGTCTTTTCTTACCTGTGTTTGTGTTCAGCTAAAATGAAGTTCGGAAGAAAGCCTTGCATAGCATCGAAAATGGCAGGAAAGAATAATACAACCAAAAGAACTTTCTGATATCTCCCAAATCCTCCAAGCTTCTGTAGTAGTGCATCATATTCTATCGCCATAGTAAAACGTTTACACTATATAGTTATACTTGGATGTATGATTTTAAGTACGTTAAACTGAGTAATTCAATAACATCTACTTCAACACATCTTTATAACTTTAAATTACGAAAAGAAGCGATAACATTGACGTGTGAACCTGGAGGATAAACTCATTTCACAAATGCATTAACTTCAGCTAGTCATCAAAAATAAAACTTTATGCATATTGTGATTATTATCATTCTGAAATTGGCAACAAATATGTAGGTGATTGACATAATTACCATTTACGCACGATATAATCTCATCATTTTGATGATATATGTTATATGAACATTAACCTAAACGACAGATATTACTGTATTAGTAAATCATATCTGTACAAAAAGGTGAAGCGAAATTTGGCTCAGTCCTGTACTTGTATAAAGTACGGTTATTTTTTATTATTAAAAGCATACTGTTGAAAAATTATATTAAGAAAAATATATCCCTCGTGAATAGCTGTGATTCCTTGTCATGGTTTTGCTATACTTGTGAGCCTTCAAAAGTTGAAGGCGTAGGGTCCATCATCAAATTTATTAAACATGAATTAGATAAAGGTCAGGGGACTACTTAATATATTTCATATATCAAAAGGTTTTTGTTTTATCTTTCTGTCATTCTGTTTATTGGTCTACCTGATTACCTTGGTGTTGTCCTTCTACTTATGTTAGTTTTGTCAAAAATCTTTCTGCTTTACATGACAATAAGGTTTTTGATTTGATTTGGCGTTTTATGAAATGCCGTAAAACTATGACAAAGACTTTTAAATATTCAAGCATCACTGCTTTTGTAGACTCGAAAAGCTGATTGGACACTACTGACAGTTTGTCACGCCTTCATAAATTATCGTCCTATCAACGACCTTCAGTAACCGAGACAAAGATTTTTTTTTAAATATAAATTGTAAAGAATAATTGAATTTGGGAAGACAAGTATAAAACATCTTTTATATTTCTGTTCCCTAACGATCAATAAATGTGAGTCTGATAAAAATAATAAATGTGTGGTATCTTTTGGGGCGTTTTGAAATGTTTTCCATGATTTGCCTATTTTGTATGAAGTGGATTCTAGAAGTCAACTCGGACTTTTATTTACTGGATTTCTCTATTTCAACCAAGGTAGTGAGAGGTTTTTTTAATTGAATCATTATTTTTAATATTTTGAAACTATTTTGAAACATTAAGGGATTTTGCAGGCAAATGATTTTACATAGTTTATTTGACGTTTGAAAATGCTATTGAAAGATCACGATTATCTTATTAATGCTTAACATTGCTCGAAGATTATTAAAGTGGAAAATTTACTGGCAAATCTTTCCCACTCTTTCAAACACTGACAAATCTTTTTCACTCTTTCGAACACTGACAAATCTTTCCCACTCTTTCAAACACTGACAAATGGTACCTTTCAATGGTTGGCATGTCTTTAGTTTTTTATGTTGTGTTTTGTATATTTCAACTTTTTGGCATGTCTTTTGTTTTCTATGTTGTGTTTTGTATATTTCAATGTTTTACATGTCTTTAGTTTTCTATGTTGTGTTTTATACCTTTCAATGTTTGACATGTCCTTAGTTTTCTATGTTGTGTTTTGTACCTTTCAATGTTTGACATGTCTTTAGTTTTCTATGCTGTGTTAATTATATTTCAATGTTTGGCATGTCTTTAGTTTTCTATGTTGTGTTTTGTATATTTCAATGTTTGACATGTCTTTAGTTTCTATGTTGTGTTTTTTATATTTCAATGTTTGATATGTCTTTAGTTTTCTATGTTGTGTTTTGTATAGTTCAATGTTTGGCATGTCTTTAGTTTTCTATGTTGTGTTTTGTATAGTTCAATGTTGGCATGTCTTTAGTTTTCTATGTTGTGTTTTGTATATTTCAATGTTTGACATGTCTTTAGTTTTCTATGTTGTGTTTTATACCTTTCAATGTTTGACATGTCTTTAGTTTTCAATGTTGTGTTTTGTATATTTCAATGTTTGGCATGTCTTTAGTTTACTATGTTGTGTTTTGTATATTTCAATGTTTGACATGTCTTTAGTTTTCTATGTTGTGTTTTGTATATTTTAATGTTTGACATGTCTTTAGTTTTCTATGTTGTGTTTTGTATATTTCAATGTTTGGCATGTCTTTAGTTTACTATGTTGTGTTTTGTATATTTCAATGTTTGGCATGTCTTTAGTTTTCTATGTTGTGTTTTGTATATTTCAATGTTTGACATGTCTTTAGTTTTCTATGTTGTGTTTTGTACCTTTCAATGTTTGACATGTCTTTAGTTTTCAATGTTGTGTTTTGTATATTTCAATATTTGGCATGTCTTTAGTTTTCTATGTTGTGTTTTGTATATTTCAATGTTTGACATGTCTTTAGTTTTCTATGTTGTGTTTTGTATATTTTAATGTTTGACATGTCTTTAGTTTTCTATGTTGTGTTTTGTATATTTCAATGTTTGACATGTCTTTAGTTTCTATGTCGTGTTTTTTTATATTTCAAAGTTTGACATGTCTTTAGTTTACTATGTTGTGTTTTGTATATTTCAATGTTTGGCATGTCTTTAGTTTTCTATGTTGTGTTTTGTATATTTCAATGTTTGACATGTCTTTAGTTTTCTATGTTGTGTTTTGTATATTTCAATGTTTGAAATGTCTTTAGTTTTTCTATGTTGTGTTTTGTATATTTCAATGGTTGGCATTCTACGTTGTGTTTTGTATATTTCAATGTTTGGCATGTCTTTAGTTTTCTATGTTGTGTTTTGTATATTTCAATGTTTGGCATGTCTTTAGTTTTCTATGTTGTGTTTTGTATATTTCAATGTTTGGCATGTCTTTAGTTTTCTATGTTGTGTTTTGTATATTTCAATGTTTGGCATGTCTTTAGTTTTCTATGTTGTGTTTTGTATATTTCAATGTTTGGCATGTCTTTATTTTTTCTATGTTGTGTTTTGTATATTTTTATTTGTCTTTTGATCGTTTTTCTTTTCTTGCTTTGGCATTTTCAGTTGTTTCCATGTAATGAGTTTGAATATCCTTTTGGTATCTCTTGCCTCACTTTTTCTCCACAAGGACGCTTTTGGGTTCAATTTCACGCAACAAAAAAACGGTCTCGCAAAAAGTAATATTGAACATTTGTTTAAACAAAATTAGATTTACAATATAGCATTCCCTATTAATATAACAAGCCATGAGACAGCTTTGTGAACAATTTCTTTAAATTTTTGCTCTCGGAATTAATTCCTCGTGAATCAACCTAAATTTATTTTTCTACTGGCTGTATATCTAACTGGAATACGCAAATTTTCGGCGTATGTATGTCTGAAAACTTCAGGAACAAGATAACAAAATGGATTAATGAACAACAAATAAACCTTTTTGAATTTGATTCACTAGACTAAATCAAAATACATTATTAAAATAAAATCTTTCAATGCAAATACAACGAGACCACCGTACATAAATGTACAAACATCGGGATGACTTCTGCAAATTAATGTTAAATCATGTAACGGATAACCATTTTTGTAAAAAATATTTTCCTATGTTTTTCATCCTCAACAGATCTAACTTCTACATCGCTCTATTCATACAAAGATAATATTTCATATTAAAAGTTGCAATTACGAAGCTTAGTTGATATATATAGAGAATTTTCATCATGTTTTAAAAGGACTGTGTAGAACGCTTTGAAGATTGGTGTATGAGAAGAACTCTAGATTTTTTATTATTTTCTCAATCAATATGCAGCAAAATTAACATTCATTTCATCAGTGTAACCATCTTTCAAAGTTCAAGTAAGTGGTCATCCTGTTGCTACCTGGTGCACTATTCAGGTTTTTAATGGTGCGTTTTTGTTTTATGACACATGATCCATAATGTCGAATTTTGAAAATTCAAATTTGAATAAAGGTTTCCTGTTTATACCAAATTTTTTATAAGCAACTCAAAATAAACAATACTTCTTAAAAAATAAATCTTAATAATGTCAAACAAGAAAATATTTATGGTGGTGCTGTATTTTGTCTATCCGCATGACAAGGATACTACGTCACACTCAATGTTATTAAGAAAAGGCATCTATAAAACTTTAAGGTATTCTCATAGTTATTTTTTCATAATAATAATTATCTTGAAAAATGATTTAAAGTGGATCAGCACTTATTTCCTCAGATAGAATTTTCTTATAATTTGCCAAAATGTAGATTTTACTATGGGTTTTTTAATAAAAAGTATGGGTCACCGTTCTAATATTTGTGTGATACTTTTTTCAAGCTACAAGTTGTGCAAAATTGCCCAATTTTGCATAGAATATTCATTAAAAAAACTTTTTTGTGGATAAAAAGAAATCTATCTGACAAAGTTTTGAAATATGATATGAGAAGATAGGCTTTATAATATACTTTTAGAAAAGAAAAAGAACAAATGGTGTCACCGAACTTGTTTTCTTGCTGCAAGTAAAAAATGGAAATTTCATTAACATTTCTTATTAAAAAATTTTACCATAAGAGTTATACCCTCTTATATGGCTAAGTTTAAAATTGAATTAAACAAAAACAAATATTTGGTATTTATCAAAACAGTTTGAATTATACAATAAATCCTTACTTTTCTTTATTTAAATAAACAGTCTTACACATAAATTACAATTTTGTCTCAAAATTTGCAAATTTAAGAAAATAAGTAGACCGATTATGTATTGCCATTTTACAGTCCAAGATTACGATACCTTAAGCCCTGTCTGGTGTCAAACGGGGACCATAATTTGCTATATGTGAACGCCGACAACAATCACATTATAAAGTCACTGAATGAAAACCATCCATTACATAGACAGTCATTGGAGAGCATTCAACAATCAGCTAATGAACATTAGCTGAAATGTTCCTCTCTTTGTTTGTGTTTCATGCATTTAGCCCGGATATTAAGTTTATATGCCTAAAGGGTTGAATGGTGTATTCAAATTTGGCGCCTGGACGTCTCCCGTTGCGGTCATATGCATAAAACCCTTGCTAAAGAGAGACGTCCGTTTGACTATGTGGGGTGTATGAATACGCGGCCATATCCAGTTAGAATGGGAACGATAAATCCAGTGTCGCGTTCTCTGCACGTTACAAATACTCTTTTTCGGTAA